TAGATATGATAATTATTTGAAAGAATCTCTGAATTAAAAGTGTGAGGTTTGAGCCAAGTTTCAGTCAAAGAAATTATATTATAATTGCATTCAAGGCCATTAAGATATAAATTCGTTAATTTAGTATTTATGCCTCTTACGTTTTGATAATAAATACTTAAAGCAGATTTAGTAATCAGTTTTTCGATTCTGTATACTGACGGGGAATATTTGCTAAATTATTATTTTTGTTGGGCCTATACTCAAATTCACGAACGAAAGCTCCGGAGGGCCAAAAAGACCTACTAAAGAGCATGTCAAAATTTTCTAAATTTACGTCTATTTTAAATGAAGAAATATTTCTTTCATATTTAAAATTAAATTTTCTGATACTTAAGTTGACAGTTTTAACTTTGGACGAGATGTAAAACTTTATATCGTCCTCGGAAGTATCCCTCGAAAATCTAGATAGAAATATAGACTTCTTTGGGGGAACCACAACCAGTCTCCTAGTATTAGACTCGATTACCGGCGGACGGGGTTGAGTAACTGAGTTACTAATTGAGGGTAGAGTAAGCGTTGGAAGATTAGATGGCGGTGCCACAACTTCAACGATGGAAGAGGAAGATACTGCAGGGTCGTTATTATTAGAAGCAGACTTTGATATATTTTCTTTTGAGGAAGATAACTCCGTTGTCTGTGGATATGGAGAAGAAAGATTAATTAAGTCATTCGGAAGATTGTTCTGACGTGGAACGGTCCTTTCATTAGGCGGACTATGAAGACGCTTACGTTTTGACCCACGAATGTCCTTCATAGATTGTACGGTATCTAAGCATTTAAAAGATTTAAATACATTTTCGTAATGTTTAAATTTTTCGGTCAATACCGAAAACTCTCTCCCTACCTCAGAAAACCCATTTCTGGTTTGCCTAAACAACTTAAAGAGATCAACTTCGGTTGACCTGCACTTTAAGCAAGACCAGCGAAGACCTTTGCCATCATTAATGGCGTCCAGAATTCTTTCTGTCAAACCAGCACATTTTAGATGGCAAATACCATCACAGAGCCAGCACGATTTGGCAGTTATCAAGATCACACTTCATATTGAAAGATTTAATAACACTTATGTTAATAAAAAGACAAGCAAAATAAATAATAAACGCAACGCAAACAGCTGTGACAAGAAATACTAAAAGAAGTAAACAAAAAGAGCAAAAAGAAATGTGTGAGTTAACTACAAAGGAATTACAACAACAATGATAACAACAAATGACTCGGCAAGATTAGATGTATGCTAGTGAAATTTAATTAAATTTAATATAAACCAAAAAAATCACAAAACTTTCACTTAGCTTCGATTATTATCACACTAAGATGCTCTTAGGCACTTTTTATAGCAACTTTTACTCAAAATTAGCACAATAAACTTAGCAAAATTCAAAGACAAATCAGAGCACAATATAAGTAGAACTTCACAGCTTGACGTTTGCTATTCTGCATATTTATAGCAAATTAATGAGTTTTTAGGCATACCAGCATGATTAACTACATAATCTAATATATTATCTTCCGTGACAATATTTGCAAAAGAAGACAGATGCAGCCATTTAGGTCGAATCGAAACATCTAAATCCGCATTAGCGTTGGTACCAACAACAAGAATTTGCTTGTTCTGTTCCCAGTATCCCACCGTCCATTGTTTACTTTAGCAGCATCAAGAGAGATGTTGGAGATACTAGCAGCATTATCGGCATAGAGCATGCGAATATCATGCGAAACAGACGGCGAAACAGAAGATCCGATTTCTACTGCTTGTGAGTATGATGTGAAAGCGGGAGCATTAACTTGGATAGTAGACGTTGACGAAGAAGAGTGAGCATCACATTTATCAACAGAAGTAGGTACAGCAGTTAGTCTGTTCCTTTGAACTTCGGACTAAAACCTGTGGAACTGTCAAACAACAATTTTACTCTCTCAAGTGAGAGTAAAAGGAGAACAGATGCAGAAGTGCACGGGAGCGCAAAAAGCACTATTTCCTGTAAAAACGTCAGTCGGTTGTTTACATGTCATTTGGACAACAATGATTTGGCTGAAATATTACCAACTAATTATTAAAATCTATACGTATTCAAATATTTCTTTGTTTACTTCCATTATGTTCTGACTAGGAACAGTTGCTCAGTTACTCTCTCAAAAGTGTTCCCATTTACAGGTTTTATGTCAATAGGAATGACTTCCTGTAAGTTCTGACTAAATCCTGTAAACCGAACTGCAATTGGAACATACTAAGTATTATCAGCTCGCAATGTAGCAGGCAGACATGAAGTAGGGCAAGAGTTAACACCTGGCGTCATATTTGCACTCACTAAATTTGTGACAGCAGCAGAAAGATTAACAGAAGACGAAGATGAGTGTGCAGCATTACTAACAACTGCACAGCTTTTAGCAAGAGTGGGTGGAGCAGAATTGTTAGCTCGTAGTGTAGCTGGCTGGCAAGAAGGCGTGGAGATAACACACGGCGTCAAAGTCGCATTCACTGTATTAGTGACAGCAGTACAAACAGAATCGCTGCAGGCAGTAGGTCCAGATGAATTAACAGCAGAGCCAACCGTAACAGTTGAGGACGAAGGGCATAAAAGAGATTGAATAGCGGCGTCAACCAATTCCATGTTGTTTACATTTGCTCGATTTGTAGTTCGTTTACCAAAACCGTCAACCGCGTAACGAGCTGTGTGATTTTCAAAGGCCACATTTTGATCACTAACTTTAGACAGCATTGCTCGAAATTCCGCATGAAGAGCATTCACTTTTTCAATAAGCTGCATTTTTTCGTCACACAAAGCTTTAACTGAAGAGATCAGCTGAGCATTATCAGCTCTAAGAGAAGCTATTTCTTTGGCAATAAAATTTAAATTTAAGAGTTTCACATGAGTACTATTATTTGAGTTCTCACTGTTTATAATCTCCGAGTTCAAATTAATTGCAGGTTCAGCAACAACACCTTCATTCAAAGCAACGGAAGACGGAAGCGAGCGAAGAGATTCACGACGCACATCCATACACACTTTACAATAGAATGGTCTATTTGACGAGGTCAAATAATCAACACCGGCTGGTTTCAAGCCAACACAAAGCAAATGAAGAAACTCGTTGCATTTTGAGCATTGCACTTTTGGTTTAGCGCGATCAACCTTTTGTTTGCAAAAGCAAGGCATTGCTAATATTATTATTATTATTCAATGCTGAAAGCAATTCAATCCAATTAATGTAACAAAGAGTTACTCTCTCATTATATCTTATTACATTAAACGAGCAATGCTTGTATACATATATATATATTCATAAGGTTCTTGGAAACGGCTCTAACGATTTTTATGAAATTTTGTACACAGATAATGTTTTGGATTTTAAGGTTATCTGAATAGGCATTATCTCAAAGTGGACTCCTATTCGAAATTAGTTAGAAATCAATTAAAACATCATAATATGGGTATCAAATGGAGATATTTTAAAGATTTCTAATTTAAAAATATTTTAAATAGGGTTGCCACGTATTTTGAATCGCATATTTATTTAATTTTTTGTTAAAAAAAGGGGAAAATATTACTATTTATGGGTATCAAGAGAAGGAAAATGCTTTCCTATATACAAAATCTTATCCCTTAAGATAGTAGTGTAAGGTTGCCACTTGTTTTCAATTCTACACAATTTATTTATCTGAAACATCGCAATATGGATATCAAACGAAAGGTATTGTTGAGTACTTTGGTCAGAAAATATTTTCCATCAGGGTTGCCACGCTTCTATGTAATACAAAATTGTATCTTGTTAATTTCAATCAAAATTTTTTTATGTATACACAGTACATATGCGCTCAAGATATGTACCATTCATTCCCCCCTATTTCGGAATAGGGTTGTCACCTATATTTTAGAATAAGGAATTTACTTAATAGATATCGAAATCCATTTTTTTCCAAAATATTTTTTTAAACCCATCCAAATCTTGAACACTTTAAAAAGTATATGCGCTCCGGGTAAAGCTCGGTCAACCTGGTAATGATTTTTAATTATAATAAAAGGTATAAAATTCACTTTAAACGCAGAAAAAAAGCCAAAAATAGCAGAGCTGTAAAAAACGCGTCCGAACTTCACAACTGCTGTTGATGTTGAGTGTCATCCGCATAAAGATGGATGGATGAACTTTGGCAACACTCCACTATATCGTTTATGAATGTGCAGAACAATAAGGGACCCAGAATGGAACCCTGGGGCACACCAGATGTTACGGGTTTTAAGCTTGACTAATTTTCACCACATTGAACCTTGTGTAGCCCTCCTGTCAAATATCTCTCTACACCTTTTCCAACAGTATTTCGGAAAAACACAAATGTATTTCAGAAAAGGCCAAATGAATTTCAGAAAAGGCCAAAAGAAGTCACACTGGCGAAGGTTTTTATTATATTTTATAAGGGACATTTTTATTTTTCATATTCTGTGTTTAAAAATTTACCTCTGAAAAATGCAGAGCTGATTTAAAGGATAGTTTAAGAAATAAAGGAAAATAGGCGTCCATTATTTTGAAAAAAATTATAAAGGACAGGGAGTTAAAATAAAGGACTGTCCTTTAAAATAAAGGCCGGATGGTCACCGTAAGTATACCACTCTTGTGTTTTTATTCGGGTCAATCGTTCCACACGTTATTTTTCTATAGATTTTTAAGTTTCGCAATTTTTCTGATTTTTGGACCTTTGAAGGTTTCGTCTTTTGACTTTGTGCCAAAATGTAAAGCTACTTATGTATAATTTAAAAAATGGCTTGCAGTGTTCGTTATTCTATAGGAGCTAGACAAATAATTATATGTATAATGTATATATGTATGTATCTTACCTGTGAGGTCAAATATTCTTCTTGATCTACTGTAATACTGTTATTCCATTTCCACATTCCCAAAAATATTAGGTCCTCTTGACAGAGCGCATTAGTGTCCGGCCTTGTTCGGCGAACGCGATAATTTTTCACAATTTCGTCACGCAACTACTTAGAACCAAAAAGTTATGAGTCAAATAAATTGAAATATTTTCTTGCTTACTATGTCTAGTCGCGGTGCTGCTTTAATTGTTTTTGTTGTTGGTAATCTGGTACCATGTCTATGTAAAATCCACATTTTTTTTGGTTTGCAACCTGTTGGACAAAAATAAGTAATTGATTATTGTTCATCAAAGATACTAGATATAAATGCAATTATATGTACAGTGTATGTACTAGAGGTGTGCTTAAATGGGTTTTAAAGGGTGTTCAAACCATTTGTTAATTTTGTTATACTTCACTTCACTTCCTCAGAACTTTCAAATACTGTCGGTGGCATATTTGAACAGACTAGTGCACTACTTCACTTACTGAGTATTGTCGACTACTGCATTGGTTAGGGTAAACAGTGGGAATTGCAGAGAGTGCAATGAACATCTACATATTTATGTGTAGTTGTAGTGCGTGGCTATGATACCTTGACTTAGCAACAACTTACCCCAATTATTCTTAACTTTGAATTCTTTAATAGAGAAAAACTTAATTACAAGATAAAATACGTATACTATACGTATATTAAAATAATATTTGATACTTGTATCACGAAATAACACAAATGGCAATAACGCAAATTTTGTGTTATTTCCCAATTGAATGTGAAATAACACAAATGTGATGTACTTCATTTCTCGTTGAGCAATAAGACCAACTTTTAAACTTAACACTTGAGTAATAAAGCACAATAGTGCACATAAGTATGTAGGTAGACACCAAGTTACATTAGACAAAAAGTAGTACATGAACAAGTTAAATGGACGGATTTGTAAGTATACAATTTTGAAAGTGCCCAGCGTCGTGTCGGTCCTCGTGCGCGCGCCACCCCACGCTCGCGTCCCCTGCCCCCCCCCGCTCCCTCGACTCCTTTCGCAATTATGCACTGCTGTCATTATAACCGTTTAGAAAAAAGAATAATAATAAAATGACACTAGTTCACTTCTGAAACTGCTTTTTAATGTCCAAGTAATTGGAATTATTGTGTATGGTGTTATTGCATGCATCCCACCCATAGTGGAATTTACCAGGTGCCACTGCCTTATTTGAAAACTTGCCTATAAAATGTGACTATAAGGCAACCGAATGTCAGAAAATAAAGCAAGAAAGCTGTTTTATTACTTCACCTCTTTATTGCGCCATTCATCCAACATTCTTGTACCGAGTATACGGTCTAATTTAGAAGTCTGAGAGAAGGTAAACCGATATAACCTTGTATTAATTCACTTTGGTGCAGCGTGCAGCAATAAAGGAAATGAGCTTTAGCCTGAAGAGGCGCCATTGCGCTAACCCACTGTGCTGATTCCGACAGTGGCACTGGAGTTAGTGTGTCAGCGCCAAAAAATTTTCGCCGTTACCCAGGCCTAGTACCAGGTGAAGTAATTAGAGCGAGAAAAATATTTTGGCACTGCCTTGTTAGGTAAATTGCCTTTAAAATTTGACTATAAGGCAACCGAATGGCAGAAAATAAAGCGAGAAAGCTATTTTATTACTTCACCTGTTTATTGCGCCATGGTTCCATGCAAACATTTTAAGGTTTTCCAGCAATGTTTTCAACATGTTAAAAAGCATGCAGATAAAATTCATACAAAAGCGCTATATCCAATTTGTTAAGCAGTTACTTAAGATGACTCTTTTCTTATATTTTGTTAGACTTTTCACAAGTAAAAATATTTTGTGAATTTACTTTCTTCATATGAATTATATCACACTTTTTGTTTAATTGTATTTTTGGAATAAACAAAGTTCTTTTTCCTCCTGTCAGTAAATTGTTTTTGTTACAAATAGAATAAACAAGCGGGCCCATGAGCCGTCTGCGCAGGCAGAAATAGTACACAGTAAACTCATCCCTCTTTGTAGCCACAGATAGAAGCAGACTGTTCTAATAGTTCGCGGAAATAATTATTTTTATAATCCCCTTATTTTTATTATACATATATGTTACAAAGCATTAATGAGATTTATAGTACATCAGAACTTATACTTATTAGGTACATACATAAAAACATATTACAAACTGACTGATATATGAGTGTCATGATTTGAGGGAAACATGGTGTCACTTACTTTGTATACAATATTGGAGCAGAAAATATATTCAGAATTAACTTTTTGATTAAATATTTCTTTAACAGAAACAATAATATGTGAGAATCGTCTTAGTCTAGTTTAAAAGAAAATGGTCCTCTACCCGGAATATTGGCAAGTTCACCTGCACTGAAGCAAACGCAAGACTGCTGTTAAATTTAAGGATATTCTCCAAATAGTGTTTTGTGATGTCACCATTGCGCTTTCAGCTCATCGCGGACAGAAATTGGTGGTAAACTCACCTTGCTCTTGTGGCAACAGATGGATGCAGTGTTATCAGCTGCCTCGCCTGGATAAAGTTTAGCTGAGCAAAACTCACATATCTTCTCCATGCGTTCAGCACAATTTGATTCTATCTCATCGTCTTTAAGGAAGAGACGTGCACCGCAATACATCTCTGGTAGCTTTTCTTGCCGCCTCCTTGCACTGACATCTTCACTTAATCGCTGAAAATATGATGGCACCAAAACACTACTAAATTGGGGAGTGAATTTTTGCCTTTGTTCGGCCCGTTGTTTCTGCCTTTGGTTCCGCATACATTTCCTAGCTCGTTGCAAATAGATCTGCCGTTGTTGCATATCTTGGTTTATTGGAAGGCAATTACGTCTTTGCGATCAGCTGACACTCCCATACACTTTTTTCGAGGCATTGTTATGCGTAATTATATTAAATTGACTCCTATAGTAGTAAAAATGGTCATTACGATCAACAAAATAACTCTTTGAAATTATAAGGTTACCGATTTTATGTAGACTTTATGAGATAAACGCAATATGTCAGTATATCTAATGGAAAAATTTTTCTGTAAATGAAATGTTGAATTGAAAATCACCAAAAATACCATATTTAATACAAAACACCAATATGCTTATCATACCAATAATACTAAACGTATTGCTTAGCAGTTCTCATAAAAGGAATATCCGAATATTTTTCCGACAGGGTAGCCAGAAACAATATGGGCTGCAAATAAGATTGTGATGCGAAATTTACAAAAAATGCCATAATACCAATATACAAATGAATGTACTTACCGTATCTACAATTTACGCGGTAAATATATTTCTCAGCTTTTATATATAAGAGGAAAAAGTGAATATTTTTAACTGACAGCGCAGCCTGCTACAATTCTTATTATTGAAATTCCTGTTATTTGGATTACAGTTATGTTTAAGCTTGAAGTCACAATAGGTTCATTCCTTATCTTGTTGGACTAAAATCTGAAAAGTGTCAAAATGTCAGAGCGTAAGCAAAATGCGCTCACTAAAAGAGAATAACAGGAAAAGTAAAGGAACGCAAAAAACCAAATTTTTAGTCCAAAGAATGGCAACAACAAAGCTAACGTCAAATAAGAATGTAAATGTATGTACAAAACACCTTCACACAAGCACAAGCACAATAAACACTTTCTATATCAATTATTTTTTACCTCCTTCCAATTTGAATTCACTTTTTTTACTTTTTAGATTATTCTCACTTTTTGCGTATTCTTTAATTTCCCGTAATTTAAATTCAGTCGAGTTTGACACTTTTCAGGATTTTGCCAGAAAAAATTCTTCTGACTAAATCTGACTACTTCGGACTGATGAGAGTCACTCTCACCGAGTGTTGCTCTCTCATTTTTACTGTCATTTCCGAGTTAAGGAACGCTTTTTGGACTAAATCTGACTAATTCGGACTTTTTCTGACTATTTCTGGGAGATAAGGAACGCTCCTAATAGCACAGTATTTTGAAGTTAAGTGTTATTATGGTGATGCCACAGATGGCGCGCTTTAACGGCTTCGTTCATGTACGAATTGTGTGGCTTATGTTGCAGAATTGAGTAAGAATTCGTGAATGATTTCATGAAATCATGAAAACTAAAAAAAAGCTGCTTAAATATTTAGCAGCTATCAATACTAATCAAAAGTTTTGAAAAAATGTTATTTGTAACTTTTTATTTTTATAGTTAAATATCTAAGTGTTTTCTGATATTATTTTAGACATAATAATCTATTGGGGGAAATAGTGTATTTAAAATTTTTTATAAAGAAATAATGTTTACTTGATGTTGTATTTAGACGTAAAGATATATACTCGTATATCTATACTAATTATATAACGAGAAGTCCCTTTTTTTTGTAACAGGTAATCTCGCGAACGGCTGGTCCGATTTTCATGAAATTTTGTGTACAAATAACTTTCGGTAACCACCATGTTTTAGGCTAAAAAAATTTTACTTTTTTCGGGTAGGTGGACCAGGGACCGGTCTATTCGAAAAAATCTTATTATAGTCCGATTTGCTTAAAATTTAGTACGTAAGTAGCTTTTTAGCATATATGATCCATTTTGTCCGAGAAGTGGACCAGGGACCGATCTGTTCGAAGAAATCTTATTTATGGTCCGATTTGCTTAAAATTCGGTACGTAGGTAGCTTTTTGCCTGGATAGGCTTATAGATTCCTGTTTTCCACTTTTCATGCAATTTCAAATATAAATAGCTTTAAGTAACGACCATATCAAGGGGCGAATTCGTCACTAGGCATGATTTTTTTGCGCCAATCAGAAACAACGGATACTGTCAATTATAATTATAATATACTAGCAGACCCGGCGAACTTCGTCCCGCCCAAAATTTTTATATAATTTATTGAATCTTTTTGGTCCAACATTTTCACCAACAATTCACGTTTACGATTTTCATTGGCACTTCTGTCTGCTAAGATTAAGGTTTGGTGGTCATTTGCCGCTTTAAATAACCTAAGGAAAGTGTTATATCCGTTCTTGAAATTCTCCAGTTGTGCGTTATTTCATAGCACGGTTATTCGCAAAGCGATATAAATTTTTTCTATAGTTCTATAGGTTCTATAGTGAATGTCCTAGAAGCTTTACAGTATAGTAGGTGGCAATTTCAAAATGGGTGCGAATCATTGTTCTACAGAAATGCAATATACATATACTTATTTCAGACGAAATACCTTAAAAGTTTGAACGCATAATAATATTGGAAAATCACATCCATTGGGCCAATTGCAACG